TGTCATGTTGCCTCTATGCTATTTTTCAGTTGCTTTAGCACATGTGTCAAATACAAGGCCCACAGGCCAAGTTCTGCCTGCCAGGCCATTCATGTAGCCCTCACCCCTCTCTTGTAGCTGCGGTACCCTCCTCGCTTCCACCCCCACCTTGTTTCAGCAGTTAGCAGCAGTGAGGAGTACAGGACTCCTCCATCAGATCTTGTGCCTCTGTGCAGCCACAAAACCCCCTCATCTCCACCTCCCCTGATCTCAGCAGTCAGCAGACTCTGGCAGCTGACTCCAGCCCTCCTCTGGTCCTCCTCTAGACTCTGCATTTTCTGTTTCCCAGCTCCACTCTCAACTCCTTCCCAACAGCAGCACAAGGTAAGGGAGAGTGAGGGACTCTTGACATCTGATGGTAGGGCTTTTAGCAGCTAATGTGGGGGGGGGGTTCTCTGGACATCTGCTTATAATTATGAGAATAGTACAATTCTATGTCAGTTGAAATGGAGGGTCACACACATCTAGTATAGTCTACAAGAAAATTTATGGGATACTGCTCAGACAGAACACCATGGCAGAACCAAAACTTCCTTGTGGATGATACCATCCGTGTGTGACCCTCCTTTTCAGGTTTGCATCATCTGCTACAGTAGTGGGAGTGGGCTCTATGCCAATCTGCACTTGCCCTTCACAACCTAAGTCTTAAGTTATTATTAAAACCAATAATAATAGAATGCAGAGGCATTTATTTAATATGACAGTGGAAAAGTGTAAAGGTGCAGTGGTAGTCAATGGAGAAGAGCATGGTACAGGGACAGACACTGGAGAAGTCTACAGATGCAATGTCCACACTAAACTGCCTTGTGACTCTTGAATTCCAGGACACTGAGAGCCACAACTCCAGCTGGTACTCTACAGAGCCCCAGGAACTTAAAAGTGTACATAAATTCTCTCTCACTTCTCAGATTCTCACATTAATAAAGCTATGAGATAAAAACAATGAACAGACAGATGTATTTTTATTATTCTTTATTATTTATTTGTACATTTTAAATGTAATGTTAAATTAAATGACATGACTATCAATTATACAATCTATATATCATTTGTAGGGCAATAAAAACAGGATATTCTGTTTAAAACTTTATGCTTCATTTATAAAATGTAAAAGTCCTTTAATACTTAAGTGGAAAACTGAGTAAAAAATACTTTTTTTGTATTTTCCATGGTTTCCTGAGTTTTCAGAATGTTTCAGTGCTTCATTGAAGACATTTGTGGAATTGTATCCAATGTTTTAAATGGGCTACAACTAACTGATTTTACGTACTTGTTTAATAACAGCTGTCACATTTTGATTTGGAAAATTGGTTTGAAGTATTTTGTTTATCTATAAGAAAATAGACAATAGATAACTATCAGTTCACTATACAAATACATTTCAATACATGTAAACAAATAATCCGTGTAGCATATCTTACCAGGTTAATGATTAAAGTTTGACTATCTGGATCGCTTGATCGATAAGTTATTGAAATAATAAAACTGATGGCATCTGCAATAAATCAAAAACAAACAAATTAGACAGAATTTCTGACATAAAGTAACAGTTTTATTTTCTGAGCAGTGGGATGTGATATGAACATGTAATATGAGTGATTTAGATAGCAAAATAAAGAGAAATGTAAATTATGTTAATGTATGAGTAAGAGCTGGTTAGATCTTAAAGTACAAATAGTAAGAAAAATAGAAGTCATGCATTGCTCAGAAATTGTGAGCAAAGCAGGAAATTTGGGTATAACTTGTCAAAATCTGGTTGTGTACAGGATATGAATGACTAAGCAGGGGAAATGATCCCAGCATCAAACATGTCAAATGAGGACAGGCAAATCTCATGAGAGATCTGCCCATGAATGGTACTCTTTATTCCTGTTGACAATAGTCAAGGCCGGTCTCTTGCTAAGAAGGAATAAGGGTGGCACTTGCTAGGGGGCTGTAAGAATTCTCTTTTGTCTAACCCCTTCATGACCAGAGGTCTTAAAAACTGGCCACCCAGGCCAAATGTAGCAGTGTCAGTTAACTTAAAAATAACTCTATTGTGATGATAATAAGGTCTGAAGAACACCAAACTAAGTGGCAAATGGGGTGTTTGCAGCTTTGCAACATTATATATCATTAAAGATTGGTACATTTTATTCACCTACAGGCCTCTGAATTCCTGTATAACTAGTTCAGAAAGATCAAAGTAATCCACAAACACAGACCATTAAACTGCAAAGAAATTTAAAAAATTGGCCACAATCTAAACAATCGTTATCAATACTTAGAACACTGCACTTCTTAACAGTCAGTTAGCCATCATAACTATCATCAAAGACAGTGTCTGGAAAAACAGATGTAGTTTAATGAGCTTATCATAAGTGTAGTTAGAAGAACAAAAACCAGACTCTATGCGTTTCATAAGTACTGTACATTAGCCTACAGTTGAGGGAATAAACATACAAATCATGGCTGTAAGGCTGTATGTGGTCATTGAAAAGCCATTTAGCAGTTCTACATTTGATGGCTTGCAGAATCTGACATAGACATTATCTATTCAGTTTCCCAGCATGAACACATAAACTCAGAATTTCTGATATGATTAAATTATGTTATGGTATATACTACAAAAGTATAAGGGGACTACAAGACTAAAAACACCTATACTGTATTGTTAGGCGCAGGGCCAAAATAGACACATTATCACTTTTTAGGGAGCCACACATAGTAGATATAACAAATGTAGTCTTCAAAATATGAAAAATATTGATGCAGTAAGAACACTACATCTAAAGGAGGGTCTGCTGACTACATGGAACACATCCACACCCTCAGCCCCACATCAGAGCCTTTGATTAGACATGTAATTTCTGCATTTAGCTTAATAAGGGGCCACAAAAAGCAGGTGCAGCTTCAGCTTAGGAGCATTCCAATTTTCATTAAACTATGCATATATGCAATAGTCATTCTGAGGGCCAGTGACTCTGTGAGATTGGACTCATGCTGAAGTGATTCAACAACAGACCAACCAAGAACCCTGTTAAGTACTTTTCATACCTTTTTTTCCCTTTTTTTACAGTTGCTAGTATTTCTTTAAACATTTTTGTTTGCACCATTTATTCCTTTTCTTTCATTAAACAACATTTTAAAATTGTTAAGCCTTATCTTAAATGCACTAAGCAGAACTTAAAGAATTTCTTTCTCTGTGAAGAGCGCTACTATATTTTCAACCTCTGTAATTTCCCTGTCTGGCATGACAGTGTGTATTATTTTATCGCTGTCTATGCCTTCCTGTTCCAATGACAACCAAACCTCTAATTTGTAGCGCAGCCATCTCAGCAGGGAAAGGTAGAAAGATAAAATATCTTCATTGGGATCACAAAAATGACACACTCCGGACTGGCAGCAGCATGAGGAGGCGGTACAGGGGCGCATGACAGATTACGAGCCTGGCAGCAGCAACTTGGACAGGAGGACGTTCAGTTTCTGCACCGTCTGGTGCGTGCTCGCAAACTGTTGTCTCTTGGAAACGGATTCCAAGAAAGACTGCTGACGGAATCCGTGAAGAGGAGTAGCAGGAGAAGGAGCATCTGAACGAGCGAATATGCCAACAAGCGACAACAGGGGCCCATGACAGATTACGGGCCTGGCAGCAGCATGAGGAGTCGGTACGGGGGCCCATGGCAGATTAGGGGCCTGGCAGCAGCTATGGGAGGCCCGTAATCTGCCAGCACCCTATGACAAAAAAATGGAACCCCACCAGCAGTGTGAGGAGACCTGAAAGTGGCACATGGCAGAGTGTGGCGATGGAGACAGCAGCAATGGGAGGCCGTACAGGGACCCATGAGAGACTCTGGACCTGGCAGCAGCATGAGGAGGCGGTATAGGGGCCTATGGCAGATAGGGGCCTGGCAGCAGCTAAGGGAGGCCCGTAATCTGCCAGCACCCTATGACAAAAAATCAACACACCAGCAGTGTGTGAGGAGACCTGAAAGTGGCACATGGCAGAGTGTGGCGATGGAGACAGCAGCAATGGGAGGCCGTACAGGGACCCATGAGAGACTCTGGACCTGGCAGCAGCATGAGGAGCGGTATATAGGGGCCTATGGCAGATTAGGGGCCTGGCAGCAGCTATGGGAGGCCCGTAATCTGCCAGCACCCTATGTCAAAAAATGGAACACACCAGCAGTGTGAGGAGACCTGAAAGTGGCACATGGCAGAGTGGTGGCGATGGAGACAGCAGCAATGGGAGGCCGTACAGCATGTGACTCTGGACCTGGCAGGCATGAGTATATAGGGGCCCATGGCAGATTAGGGGCCTGGCAGCAGCTATGGGAGGCCCGTAATCTGCCAGCACCCTATGTCAAAAAATTCAACACACCAGCAGTGTGTGAGGAGACCTGAAAGTGGCACATGGCAGAGTGTGGCGATGGAGACAGCAGCAATGGGAGGCCGTACAGGGACCCATGAGAGACTCTGGACCTGGCAGCAGCAGCATCAGCCCCCAGGCAGAGTAGTGAATAGGGCCATGTAATTTCTGCAGCTTTATAAGGGGCCACCCAGGTGGCAGCAGCTTAGGAGGCATGTCCGTAATCTGCCAGCACCCTATGCAAAAAATTCATACACACTGCAGTGTGAGGAGACCTTGAAAGTGGCACATGGCAGAGTGTGCGATGGAGCTGAGCAGCAATGGGAGGCCGTACAGTAGGACCCTGGAAGACTCTGGCTACCTGGTCAGCAGCAGCATGAGGAGGCGGTATAATACCTATGGCAGATTAGGGGCCTGGCAGCAGCTATAGGAGGCCCATAATCTGCCAGCACCCTATGTCAAAAAATTCAACACAGCAGTGTGAACCTAATGACATGCAGGAGCACCTGGCGATGGAAGCAGCAATGGCCCAAAAAGACACTTGGACCAGACTCTGGCACAGTGCAGCATGAGGAGCGCTATATAGGGGCCCATGGCAGATTTCCCTGCCTGGCAGCAGCTATGGGAGTATTATTTAATCTGCAGCATGCACCCTATGTCAAAAAATTCAACACACCAGCAGTGTGTAGGAGACCTGAAAGTGGCACATGGCAGAGTGTGGCGATGGAGACAGCAGCATTGGGAGGCCGTACAGGGACCCATGACAGACTCTGGACTCAGGCATGCAGCACAGGGGCGCATGAGGAGGCGGTATAGCCTGGGGCCATGGCAGATTAGGGCCTGGCAGCAGCTATGGGAGGCCCCAAATCTGTGCGCCAGCACCCTATGTCAAAAAATTCTGAACACACCAGCATGTGTGAGTGAGCGTACCTGAAAGTGGCACATGGCAGACGTGTGGAATGGAGACAGCAGCAAGGGAGGCCATACAGGGACCCATGACAGACTCTGGACCTGGCAGCAGCATGAGGAGGCGTATATAGGGGCCCATGGCAGATTATTAGGGCCTGGCAGCAGCTATGGGAGGCCCGTAAATCTGCCAGCACCCTATGTCAAAAAATTCTCAACACACCAGCAGTGTGAGGAGACCTGAAAGTGGCACATGGCAGAGTGTGGCGATGGAGACAGCAGCAATGGGAGGCCGTACAGGGACCCATGACAGACTCTGGACCTGGCAGCAGCATGAGGAGGCGGTATATAGGGGCCCATGGCAGATTAGGGCCTGGCAGCAGCTATGGGAGGCCCGTAATCTGCCAGCACCCTATGTCAAAAAATTCAACACACCACCAGTGTGTGAGGAGACCTGAAAGTGGCACATGGCAGAGTGTGGCGATGGAGACAGCAGCAATGGGAGGCCGTACAGGGACCCATGAGCAGACTCTGGACCTGGCAGCAGCATGAGGAGGCGGTATATAGGGGCCTATGGCAGATTAGGGGCCTGGCAGCAGCTATAGGAGGCCCGTAATCTGCCAGCACCCTATGTCAAAAAATTCAAACACACCAGCAGTGTGAGGAGACCTGAAAGTGGCACATGGCAGAGTGTGGCGATGGAGACAGCACAATGGGAGGCCGTGGACCAGACTCTGGACCTGGCAGCAGCATGAGGAGGCGGTATATAGGGGCCCATGGCAGATTAGGGGCCTGGCAGCAGCTATGGGAGGCCCGTAATCTGCCAGCACCCTATGTCAAAAAATTCAACACACCAGCAGTGTGTGAGGAGACCTGAAAGTGGCACATGGCAGAGTGTGGCGATGGAGACAGCAGCAATGGGAGGCCGTACAGGGACCCATGAGAGACTCTGGACCTGGCAGCAGCATGAGGAGGCGGTATATAGGGGCCTATGGCAGATTAGGGGCCTGGCAGCAGCTATAGGAGGCCCGTAATCTGCCAGCACCCTATGTCAAAAAATTCAACACACCAGCAGTGTGAGGAGACCTGAAAGTGGCACATGGCACATGGCATGGAGAGCACAACTGAGGCCGACAGGGACCCATGAGAGACTCTGGCAGCAGCATGAGGAGGCGGTATATAGGGGCCCATGGCAGATTAGGGGCCTGGCAGCAGCTATGGAGGCCCGTAATCTGCCAGCACCCTATGTCAAAAAAAAAATTCACACACCAGCAGTGTGTGAGGAGACCTGAAAGTGGCACATGGCAGAGTGTGGCGATGGAGACAGCAGCAATGGGAGGCCGTACAGGGACCCATGAGAGACTCTGGACCTGGCAGCAGCATGAGGAGGCGGTATATAGGGGCCCATGGCAGATTAGGGGCCTGGCAGCAGCTATGGGAGGCCCGTAATCTGCCAGCACCCTATGTCAAAAAATTCAACACACCAGCAGTGTGTGAGGAGACCTGAAAGTGGCACATGGCAGAGTGTGGCGATGGAGACAGCAGCAATGGGAGGCCGTACAGGGACCCATGAGAGACTCTGGACTTGGCAGCAGCATGAGGAGGCGGTATATAGGGCCCATGGCAGATTAGGGGCCTGGCAGCAGCTATGGGAGGCCCGTAATCTGCCAGCACCCTATGTCAAAAAATTCTACACACACCAGCAGTGTGTGAGGAGACCTGAAAGTGGCACATGGCAGAGTGTGGCGATGGAGACAGCAGCAATGGGAGGCCGTACAGGGACCCATGAGAGACTCTGGACCTGGCAGCAGCATGAGGAGGCGGTATATAGGGGCCCATGGCAGATTAGGGGCCTGGCAGCAGCTATGGGAGGCCCGTAATCTGCCAGCACCCTATGTCAAAAAATGGAACACACCAGCAGTGTGTGAGGAGACCTGAAAGTGGCACATGGCAGAGTGTGGCGATGGAGACAGCAGCAATGGGAGGCCGTACAGGGACCCATGAGAGACTCTGGACCTGGCAGCAGCATGAGGAGGCGGTATATAGGGGCCTATGGCAGATTAGGGGCCTGGCAGCAGCTATGGGAGGCCCGTAATCTGCCAGCACCCTATGTCAAAAAAAAAAAATTCAACACACCAGCAGTGTGTGAGGAGACCTGAAAGTGCACATGTTTGAGGCATGATTCATGGCGGATTTAGTCAGTTGTGTCAGGAACTGGTGGTTTGAAATCCAGACTAATCCACGCCTGATTCATTTTCACAAACGTGAGTCTCTCCACACTTTGGGTGGACAGTCGTGTCCTCCGCGGAGTTACAATACCTCCTGCCGCACTAAACACCCGCGCTCCGATGCCACGCTACTGGCCGGGCATGACAGCCTTTCAAGGGCAAATTCAGCTAGTTGGGGCCAAAGGTCAAGTTTCGTTGCCCAGTAGTCAAGGGGATTGTCTACCTCGGTTGGCAGGGTGCTGTCCAAGTAGGCCCAAGCCTGTTGTTTGAGGTCCTGCTCCAGGTCCACCTGATGCTGCTGCTGCTGCTGCTGCGGCTGGTTAGTAGTTTCCTCACTGCGCTGGTGAAGAAAGCTACTCATCATCGACTGCAGACTGAGGCAGCCGCTGCTGGTGGTGGAGCTGCCACTGCTCCTACCACCCCCCCCCCCCTGCTGCCATGGCAGCGGAACGCGAGCGCACAGGGCCCACAGTGTCTGAGGATGGACGTTGGCGCACAAAGGCAGAGACCAACTGACTACATAGGTGGTTTTTATAGTACGTTATTTTGGCCTCCCTCTCAGCAGGTGTGAAAAAGGCCACCATTTTTGGAACGGTAGCGAGGGTCCAACAAGGTGGACAGCCAAAAGTCATCCCTCTGTCTGATGGTTATTATTCGGCTGTCGCTACGCAAGCAACCGAGCATGCTATGGGCCATTTGTGCCAAGGAATGCGAGGGACTCCCTGCCTCCATCTCCACAGCATACTGCCACGGTGCGTCTGGGTCCTCTGTCTCCTCCTCCCTCCTCCTCTACCAGATGCTCCTGCTCCTCCACTCCTGTCCGCTGAGTGGAAAAACCACCCATTTCACTCAATAATTCCTGAGCACAAATGTCCTCCTCTACCTCCTCCTCTTCTTCTGTCCTCCTGCCCCCACAGGGGTCATGTGGCGTTGAGATCTGTGCGCCACGTCTACCGCACCCTGACCAGCCATTGTTAACAGCATTTGTTCAAGGACGTGCAACAGAGGAATGACGTCGTTCATCCCATAGTCCTGCCGACTCACGAATAGCGTGGCCTCCTCAAAGGGCCTGAGCAAGCGGCAGGTGTCACGCATGAGCTGCCAATGGCTGACATCGAAGTTACACAGGGGAGTACCTTTATCCGCTTGTAACATCAGGAAATCGGTGATGGCCTTTCGCTGTTCGTAAAGGCGGTCTAACATGTGTAGGGTTGAATTCCACCTTGTTGCAACGTCGCAGATCAGGCGATGCTGTGGAATTCCGTTCTCTGCCGCTGCAGCTCAAGGAGGGTGTGCTTTGCGGTGTAGGAATGGCTGAAATGCATGCAAAGTTTACGTGACATTTTAAGGATGTCTTGCAGTGGGATGGTGGTGGATTTTAGGAACCGCTTGACAACCAGATTGAACACGTGAGCCATGCATGGCGCATGGCACAACCTTCCTTGACGCAGAGCAGACACCATGTTCTTTCCGTTGTCGGTCAACATGGTTCCGATTTTCAGTTTGGGCGGAGACAGCCATCTGTCGATTTCTCTGTTCATTACACTCAGAAGTTCCTCCCCTGTGTGACTACGTTCGCCAAGGCATACCAGGTGCAGAACAGCGTGACACCGTTGCGCCCTGCACATGTGATATGCCGGTCGGGTAATGGGACTTGGCACGGGGGTGGCGGCTGAGGACACGGCGGAAGAAGAGGTGGTAGAGGCGGACATCTTTGCCGGACCAAGGACGTGCAAACGTGGAGGCAAAAGCGGCGTGACCTGTCCAAGTTGCTGGTGCGGCTGTGACGGCACCACGTTCACCCAGTGGGCCGTAAATGACATGTACTGTCCCTGACCGTAGTTACAGCTCCACACGTCGGCGCTGCCCGTGCACTTTGGCAGAGACCGACATGCTCAAAGACTGGCCCACCATGTCTTCTACATGTGAATGCAGGGCTGGCACTGCCTTTTTGGCGAAGAAATGACGGCTTGGCACTCTCCACCGCGGCGCGGCACAAGCCATCATTTCTCTGAAAGGTGCTGAGTCCACCACTTGGAAAGGGAGGGACTGCAGCACCAGCAACTTGGACAGGAGGACGTTCAGCTTTTGCACCGTCGGGTGCGTGCTCGCAAACTGTTGTCTCTTGGAAACGGATTCCAAGAAAGACTGCTGACGGAATCCGTGAAGAGGAGTAGCAGGAGAAGGAGCATCTGAACGAGCGGAAGATGCCAACGAGCGACAACTCCCCTCAGCAGAGGTGTTGGAGCCTTGACTGGCTGATGGGAGGGCGATTGACGTCGGGTGACGGAGCAAGTAACGGAGCGGGTGATGGAGCGCGGGGGCTGGGGCGGGCAGAACCGCCGTATCTTTATCACGGTTTTCCCAGGCCACCAAATGGCGACGCTGCATATGCTGCCGCAACGCTGTAGTCCCAACATGGGCCCCCTGGCCACGCTTGACTTTCTGGCCACATAGTCGACATACGGCTACGTTTACTTCCTCGGGCGGCTTGACGAAAAATTGCCACACCGCCGAGTAGGAAACTTTGCCCCCGATACTCCTCACTGGCTGACTGCTGCTGCTTCCTCCGTGCACACCGGCACCACTACTGGCCGTGGTGGTAGGCTGCAGTGGAGCTGGTGCTCTACTCCGTGGCCGTTTGGCTCCACTGACACTGCTTCCACTGACACACCTGCTGCGCGACCCTGCTGCTGTCTCCTGGGCAACCCACCGACTGTTTCGCTCGCTGCCAAGCTGCCACCCCTCTTCTCCTGATGATGCGGAAGAAATTGCCTGATGACGACGAGGCTGCCAAGTGCGATCAACCTCCTCATCATCAAGTAGGGTCTCCGCCTCACTACTAGCCCCCTCGGCTGCGTCTGGGTCAGGAGACAGACCTGTCTCTAGACC